TTTTTGACATACCATTGCCCGATTCGTTGAAGAGACCTGACAATCCACACCATGCGAACAATGTCAACTGATAGCAGCATAAAATCAACAATAATCATAAGAAGAATATTTTAACAATTTTGTTAGTTACTAGGCGTGAATAGTTTAAATCCAAGGATTTCTATTGTACCCTTGACCGCAGTACGGGTCCCTATTTAGGGCTGTGCGGAATATAAAAGAACCCGTAGGTGAGTACTTTATTGAATTGATAGTTTAGTTTTGCATTCAATCTAACTGAATTGTTTTTTTCTTTTTTTTCCTTTCCATTTTGACGGTAAAATTGACTGAAACTACACACAAATCCAACCCCAATACCCCAATATTGACCGTCAACATATGCCCGATAATGGATGAATTTGCCACAACAAATGTATGTTGGGTAGAGGGTTAATTTGAATATTTCTAGTCTATTTCGATACAGAACCAGGCTGTGTGTTCTGTATAATTTCAGCTGGCACTGCTATTTCTGCTCTGCCTAAGTTTGACGCATTGCAAACCGCATTGAAATCGGTGATTGCTGTAAGCAGTGTGTGTTCGTTACGCGGCAATAGCGACACCGTAAACCATCAATACACATGCATGAATGCTGGGTAATACACGGTATCACTATTGCCGCGTAATGAACACACACTGTAAGCAGACATCGATTTCAATGCGGTATGCAATGCGTCAAACTTAGGCAGAGCATAGCTATCGTGCTAGAAATAGCAGTGCCTGCTGAAATTATACAAAACACACAGCCTGTACAGAACTAAAGTTACTAGTATATGATTTTTTCTCACATTTTGTCTCTGCTTTTTTTTTTAAACAATTAAATATCACATGATATGTAAAAAAGAAAAAATCCAAGTTTCTAGTTCTTTTTTTTTGTCTCTCCGTATACTCATACAACATTTGCATTTCCATAGAAATTATCAATTTTCGGCTGGCTTCATTTATCTTTGGAATTGACGTGCGAACATCTTCAAGCGTCATCTTATCGGCGTTTAGTCTTTATAAATCTATTGCTTTTTAATTGTCCACCAATCGATTTTATATGAATCATATACTGTAGCCAGCTATTTGTTAGCTATACATTGAGTCTGCATAAAACCATTCGTTGAATCGTTATCTGATCAATTTTTGCACATCATTTTCGTCGAACTTATGTGATCTTGAAATTTAGTTAAAATTTCGATGACTTCATTTTTTGCGATTAAAATCAGAATGAAAATGGTTTAAGTAAAGAAAGCAATTTCAAACGAATTTGATTCTTACACACAAAAAATATGCGGCGGTCAAATCAAATGAAGATGCGGTTATTCAGTAGTGTGCGGTCATATTTTTATCATTTTTATAATTTTGTGTTCTAGAATTGTTCGCAATTCTGCAAAAAATAATAAAAATATGACCGCAATAAGTTTAAATTTGACCGCACACGCAAAAACATAAAAATCAAACAATTATTTCATCGTGTGGGAGTGTTAATTCGTTATTATAAAACATTTACGTCAGAAATATATTAGCTTTTGTTTAACAAATATTATTTGAATTCAAATAATAAAGAAGAACAAATATTATTTGTTAAACAAAAAATAATTTGATATGTTTGACGTAAATGTTTTATAATTATGAATTTACACTCGTAGACGATGCATTGATTGTTTGATTTTGATGCTTATGCGTGTGCGGTCAAATTTACTGTGACAGCGGTAAATTGCGGCCAATTCTAGAACACAAAATTATAAAAATGATAAAAATATGACCACAATCAGTTCAAATTTGACCGAAACCTACTAGCGCATAATAAGCGCATCTTCATTTGATTTAACTGCATTTTTTTTGTGTGTTCCATTATCACAAAAGAACAATATAAAATGGCGCGATATTTGCGCCTATTTATGGTTTTTCCCGATTTTTTTTAAAATTTGGTGAGGAACCGCAAACAGATGCGATATTCAAATGTTGGTGATGAAATTTTCGAGGATAAATACGGCCCATGATCAGCTCAGAAACATAAGAATCGTTTGAATGCTTGAGGATTGAGTATCAAACCAGTAGCTCTTAATTTTTGATTAAGTTAGTTAATATCGACTGAATACCTGACAAAAGCGCAATATCATTCAAATCGGAATCAAACCAAGAAAAAAAGTGAAAATCGTAATGTACAGAAAAAATTTAGCGCTTACGCTGCTGTTCTGCCTGATCAATCGCAACTACAACACCATTGACAATGCATGTAAAGAGACCAACACCGGCGCACCACGTGGTCATTATTGCTGTAGTAGCGTGACCATACGCATGGTGGACGATGGGCCGTTCAAACCATGGGACTACAGCCCATTTTCGGTAAAATTGGATGCGACATCCTGGTTGCGTAAAGATCTTAGCACCGACATTCTGGCACGTCCCGCCGGTTTCATCCTGCGTGTTCCCATGGATTCGCACAAACTGGGTTTACCGGCGATGGAGACCGGATTCATGTGCATTTTCAGCTTTGATTGCTACACTGGTCCTGAACGCAAATGGTTCGGTTGCGGATTGTGGAACGATAAGTCATTCATCAGGCCTGGACCAGCCAACCTCAGCAAAGACTATGCCTTTGGCAGTTGCGATACACTTGGTGTCGATAACGCGCAACAATGGAGAGCACAGTTTCATATTCTTCGCCTTAATAACCGCTCATAGGAAATATTAGCTAAACAAAATAAACCAGAAGAACATAATCCATGAGCAATTATTATTAAAAATCTTCCCCTTATTCCTCAAATTGTTAATGTAAATAAACCTCCTAAAACTATTCTTATATGAGCAATGATATTCAGATCGAGCAATGTCCATGGAATGCAGAACAACCAACAGACTGGGACGCTATGATTCAGGTTCATCAGTATCACGGTACCGTACAAGAGATATATATCATAAAAGAAGAATCCAACGAGTTCTTTATACGCACCGCTTCCAACAGCAGTGATGGTGGCGCGCGCATTCCTTTCATTGACGCGTTTTTCTACGACCCTAAAAGCACTTTCGTCTTTAATACTCGTGGTGATACCAAAGATCCAACGCCAACCATGGGTTTGCCTGTGGCACAGAACTTTCAACGGAAGCTATTTGTGCAAGGCTATGCAATGCCGGTGCTTCGTATCGACTTTACCAAGGCACCGATGGAGCGATTCCAGTATGTAGCGGATGATCAGGTCGATACGTTGGGAAGCTTCAGCATGGTCAACTACATCCAATCCACAGAGTGGATTTCACGAAAAGACCCAAGCACCGGACGCAACGAATGGACGTTGAAAGTGATCCCCAACCAGCTCGGTATTCAGATGAAGGCCATCGATCAGCAAGGGCTGGTCAGGGAACTGCGCCAACGGTATGGAAACGACTCACAATGGACCGACAATGAAATTAATGCTGGCAGCATATTGTACTACAACAACTACGCTGTTATATTAACAATTTTCCGAATAAAAATAAGTGGAACCTCGAACCTTTCCGAGCGGTGGTCAGCGATGCCGAAGCGAAAGCTGCCTGGTGCAATCCATTCCTGATCGCCTCCACCAGCTGGTTACAAATGAATGATTCGATTAGCGGTGAAATGCGGTGGAGCTTGAGTGTAGTGCCCTCTACAGCTGGCCGTTCGACCCACAACGATCAACTATACCGAGAAGGCCAGGACTTGCGTTCAGGCACCAATGGAAAGAAGGTAGCGAAGGCAGCATGCGTGTGCAACTTGCCTGTCTGCAAAACAATTATCGCCCAGTGGACAGTGAAGCGTAGGCCAAAGAACAACGGTGCATACCTACAGAGCAGTTCGATAAAAATGATGTCAACAATTCGACAACACCTGAAGTAGTAGCAAAATTGGAAATAGCGCATCCGACCAAGCTCCAGGTCAAACTCCAGTGACTATTGGTCAAACTCCTTGTTCTTTCTGGTACAACATACATTGTGGTGGTTATCCATACGAATAACAAATCATACCAAACCTCGAATCCAAGTTGGATTATCCAACAAAGCAATGTGAAGTCAAACATTGAAGCTCAACTCGACCAGAAATCGAAGTTTTTTAAGATAATATATTTCAAAAATGTACTAATTCACCATTGGCTCGAATTATTATTTAAATCATAAACGGATAGATTTGCTTTTAAAAACATCATATCGTATTTTATAACGAGATCCAGTGTATTTTCGGAGTGGACTGAAATAGTCGTATCACAACAAGAGGTTTCGATATTTATATTAAAGTTGCGTATATTTCAATAAATGAAACACAAGTTTATACTTATCTTGTAATGGATGTGTCCTTTCATGATTGAATTTTTAGATGGAATTGTATGAATAAAAGTTCAGCGAAAATAAGTTCTAAAAAGACAATATATTTAGCTGCCGTCATCTGGATATTTCAGCTCATCTGGATATCGTCAGCAGATGATATGAAGTGAAAACAATAGAAGTGATTGTTATAGGTATATAAGCTTGGTATATACTGGTATCTCTATAACAATCACTTCTATTGTTTTCACTTCGCATCATCTGCTGACGGCATCCAGATGAGCTGAAATATCCAGATGACGGCAGCTAAATATATTGTCTGGTTCTAAAACAACACATAGCGAAATTTCGATTATTATTACAAGTTAACAACAAAATAATTAATTTCATGTAAAAATAGATTGCGATAATAAAAGTTGAAGAAGACTACCAAAAACCAAGCTCAAATATAAGACATACACACAGATAAGGTGGTATTGATTTAATAAGCGATATATTATTATAAATAGAATTAAGGAAGATTTACTTGTAGAAAAAAAAATCAAGAAACAAGCGTCAACATCTTAACACCACATCGGTGTAACTGGAATTTGGGATTGTGGAGAACGACACATAAAGCGCAGATGAGCGAAGGAAAATAATAATACGGGAGAGTACTAAGATGAAACCAGGAAAAAAAACTACTTGAAAAACCTCTAGAATTTCTTTGTTTGTTTCTTTCTTCAACCGAGATAATTCTGTTTAATTTGAATATTTTTAGTCTATTTCGATACAAAACTAAAGTTATATGATTTTTTTCTCACATTCTGTCTCTGTTTTTTTAAACAATTAAATATCACAATTATATTGTATTGGTTGTATTGATTATTATTTAAGTACTTGTTGTTTTTCTGTTCTCTTTAGATTCCTTCGATCGAATGCAAAAAAAGAATTGAATAAATAATTTAAAATGATATGTAAAAAAAAAAAATCAAAAAGAAAACAACATGCAAGTTTCTAGTTCTTCTTTTTCTTCTTTTTGTTTCTCTTTTTTTTCTTGGTTAAATTTTAAACTTAAATTGTAATGTAATTGTTTGTGTCAGTTTTGTTTTGTTTTGTTTTTCGAGAATCATTACGTGTTATTTTTAATTAATAAATTAATATTGTCATAAATACAGAAGTTCATAGCCGATGTGATGCCCGTTTTTAGTACACTGGGCCACATGCCTTTGAATAAACCACGGTAACCTTCGCGTAGGATCGTCACACGGAAACAATCAACAATACCCGTACATTCAAAATGTTTGCCAAAATTTTTCCGATGTTCGCCAAAACCTTGAATTTGCATTCGTTTTTTCGCCAAATCCAATGGATAAACAACCGCTTTCGAAACCAATCCAGCCATTGCACCATTGAAAAATGTAACTAGCGCCGGAATTTCACTTTTATCATGTAAATTCAAAACGTCAACGGTTGATGTGCATAGGAATTTATACGTCATAAAATTAATACCAGTTAATGGTGCTACTTGAATTAAACTAAGATAGAAGCCACGATACAGTCCACGGATGCCTTCCTGTTTGCCAATCGTCATAAATGCTCGGTAGGTATTTGGATAGCCACGATGAGAATCTTGAGCAATGAGACGAGTTCGTACAACATCAATCGGTGTCACCGTTACTGAAAAACAATTGAATCGAACCATTTTGTATACACTTTAGCCAAAATAAAACCCATTAAATTCAAGTACATTTAGATGATAATTTTTTTTTTAACATAAATGAATAAGAGGAGAGAAAGTGCAGATGTCTCACCTGTTCCAAGTGCACCGGCCATGGATCCGCATACAAAATTTGCAATATTTTCATTTTGATGATAGAGATTTAAGTGTTTGGCATAGTCTTTGCATTCTTCAAATGCCCAAAATTGTGCAACCCCATAAACAATGCTTAACAGCTGACCTAGTTATCATTTATTTAAACAAAAGAAAGTGTTATTTAAATGATTAAAAGCCACCCCGATAATTGGATGTTAAAATGAAAATTTACCAGGCATATGTCCTTTCCAGAAACCAACAACTCCTTCGTCACGAAATATGGTGCGAACCGCTTGCGGCATTGACACATATTTTGATTTATTACAGCCGAGCGGTTCGACTTGTAATTGAAATCGAATTTTTAACACGTCAAATGGTTGACACACGAAACGGGTGACAAATGCAGCAACACCGCCAGCAAACGCCTGTTTACCATGGAAATGATCAATTTTCGGCCGGCGTATGCTTTCTTCATTTATTTTTGGAATTGACGTGTGAGCATCTTCCAGCGTCATCTTATCGGCGTACAGTATTTGATAAATTTATTGCTTTTTAATTGTTCACGAAACCACTCGATTTCGTTTTTTATTTATTTATGATGTGAATTTTCAATAGTAGATTTGTACACACTATTTATTCTATTCTATTAATTTTGATAGATAAAAAGAACGAAATTAGTTTTGTTGTTGTTGTGGTTTTGAAAATGCAAATTCACGCTCACTTCTGCATATTAATGAACTCATTTCTAATTTTATTTATTTTACTTACGTAATTTTAATCTTTAATATTAGCAGCCACAATTTTTCTACTTAAACAATTAACATAACAACTGTCAAGCTTCACCAAATCCGACAAAATCCAATGTAACCGAAAAAAAATAAACTTTTTTTTATTTAACTTCAAATTTGTAAAATTTCGTCGAATTCTGCGTTTTTGTCAAGTATTTGGGACCGGAAATTGTTTTATATTCGACATGTATTTAAAAAATTTATTTATTACATAATCTGTCAGAGAAAAAAGATAATATTCTAAATTAAAATTAAAAACTAAAAGAATTATGTACAATTTATGTGAAAATGAATGCGGATTTGGTGATGTGTTTAAGCCATGTACATCATGGACTGTTTTCCTTTCTACCTTTCTCTACTTTATGTAATGAGATAAAACGTGCTTTTGAGCTTCTTCGCGTATATTGTGTGCGTGTGTACCGTGTGAATACGCAAAGAGAAAGAGGCAAGAACAAAACAAAAGAAACAAAAAAAAGAACGAAGTACTGTTTACGATTGCATGTCATACGACTCTATCTGTCTGAGCTTAATGTAACCCAAAAAGATAGGTTATGTCAATTCGGTATTAACGCCGAAAAATACATTGAGCCTAAGCAATATCGTTTGTCATTGACATTCCAACGCTTTAGCCGAATAAAAATTCATAAAGTCATAACGCAGTCAAACACCATTGCGTTGCATTCAGTTTAGATACGCATTTACATTTTAAAATCAAATTAAAAACCACCTTTTCAAACAAAAATGTGCATTTTTATTAATTATCATCGTCACTATCACTGCTGCACACATCATTGAATATTAAATTAATATATTGACTATAATCCGTGTTGCATAGCCACGAGTATACAGGTTTCGTGTGTTTTTCCTGTTCTCTTAGAGCATCTCGGAATAATTTTGGTTCCATATCCGAAACATTGTCCATTAATTCCTACCGAAATCAAGAAAAATTATATGAAAACATTTTCACTGGAATTTCATTAATTTTTTACTTACTGTGTAACATTGTTTTAAAAATTGTTTGGTTGGACCATCTTCCAAATCTTCGACTGGATACCCGGCACTCATGCTGGCCAACATTTTGTATAGAGCTTTTAAATCGATGCCATTCACTTCGGATGGTGGTGGATGTTTTTCTAAATTGGCAATCGCTTCTAGGGTCACTGGCAACGTATTATCAGACACTGTTTGACTGTTTTCCACGATTTGTTTCGCACATTCATCCAAATTCATGAAATGCTTATGATTTTTTGTTCGAAAATTTTTCTCCAGTCGACTTTGTGATGATTCCGCCTGTGTATTAACAAAATCTACAAAAAAAAATCAACATTGTTGTTTTGAAATTTACCGAACATTTCTTACTTTTGATAATATTTTCGTCACCAACTTTGAAGCGTGAAGTCATCTTTTTTAGTTGATTTGGATGACATCCCTCATTTCTGAGCATTTTCAATAATTCCTTTTTATGATAATTCGATAATTTATTTTTCACAATCGTCGATGATTGCAATCGATTTGATCTGGTGGCACGGTTTTTTCGATCGGTCATTTTTCCTCTTATTTATCACAAATGTAGCTACTTAGAATTAATTTGTTTGGTCAATCGAGATTGTGATTGTTTTGATTTGTTTTGTTTTTGCAAATGTCATGTCGAAACGCATGAACGAATGCATCGTTCAATGACCATACTCTGAACTTCGGTCGAAATGCGAATTGTTAACAATTGCGAACTGTTTTTCTGTATTTTCTATTTCTAGCGCAAAATTTAAAAATTGCTTCAGCATTTTTTACAACACTCTTAAAATAGAAGAAGTTGACTGAACTTAAATCATTTGAAAAAAAAAATCAAACCATTCTTTGTATGCATGCATTGAACGCATCCATTTGATTAAATTCCGATTCATACACCATACATCAACACATCAACACACATTGAATGTTATGTGAATTTTTTTTTGGTTGTTGTGACATTAGTTGAAAAATATTATGAGAAACATAAAGTTGGAATAGTTAGTCTATATACGTCGTCTTCAAAACCAGAATACTCTCTGTCTCATTCACATTTCGTCGAAAACAACAAGTAAACGAAACGACAACATCACTTACGAAAAGAAGAAAAAGTGAAATAATTTCCACATATAAAATTAAATCGCAGTCAATATTCATTTTTCAATTTTTATTTCGTGAATTAATTAACTAATAGATAAAAAGTGAGTCATTCCATTAAAAAGTACCTTATTAAATATATTGGAGTGTATGCATTGATTGATTTTGGTTCAATTTCGTTTCGTCAATTAAAGTGATTAAAACCAGAATCACTTAAAGTGTGTTTTTTGTGTAAATTTTGTCAATTGGCTTGCCTGTGGGCTTTACATTGCTCTTGAGTGCTGTTTTTTTTGCTCTTTCGTGTGTCTTTTTACAACAACGACTTGTTTCACAAATACATAGGTCACGAAAGAAAAAAATCAAAACCAAAATGTTTACTTAAGATGATACATAAAGATATATATAAATGAAGGGAAAGAGAGAGGAAGGTGTAAAACAAAACCAGTATCCGATATCAATTGTCCACATATGCATATATTTTATGTAAACGAAACGTTGACGAATTTTCAATTAGTCAGAACAAAAATTGTGTATGCAGAATTATCTTTTGTACCATAAATATTTGAATTAAAATGATATAAACATAACAAAACTGAAATAAGAAGAAGAAGCAGAAAAATAAAACGAAGTTTGCTATTCTAGTTGAATATGTGCTATTCTATGCTTGGTGTATATATAGAATTCGAGCACTACATCGCCAAGATGTGATGACCTTCTCCAACGCAGATATTTCAAAAGCAGTGTTTGGTTTTTTTGTTCACTTCGTTTTCTGACGATATAATTATTTTGCTTTTGTTTTATTCTGCTTCTGTTTCTGCTCTCGGTTGAGGATTTCTTTTTGATGTGCCAATCGCGCATTTAATATAAATGAATATGGTTTTTGCTGAGAAAATCACAAATATTTTCATTTTGTTTGACCTGCTGCTTGGAAATTATCTGACGCAAATTGAATGCATGTTTTATTCTTCAATTTCTTCATAGTTCGCTTGTTTACAATTACTCATTCATTTGCGCATATTTACACAGTGATTCATTTTTTTTGTATGGTTTTTCATTTACGCCATTTCGATGTGAATTTCGTCGAAAGCAAAAACCCAAGCAAGAAGTAAACAATCGCGTTATCTCACCGACATACACACATGTGGAACATAATAATTAAATTATTTCAAATTACTAGATTTCAAATCAATTGCGAATGTGTGTGTATTTCTGGGAATGTGGCAGAAGTGATTAAAAGAATTCAACGGAATCATTCGCATTAATATATCGTTTTTTTTCGTCAACAATTAAACATAGATGAGCAAAAACGGACAACCACCGCCCGCCTATGGCTTTGTCGCACCACCATCAGCTCCACCCAGCTATGCACAAGGTAATTTAAAAACATTTGAATATTCGATTCCAGTTGATGAATTTTAATTAATCGACTTTTTCAATTTGAAACAATTAAAAAATACAATGGGTAGCCGTTGGAGGGGTACCACCATCTAGCCCATTTGTTCCACAACAGGCAACAACAACTCACATCGTTACAACAGTTTTGCCAATTGGAAACCACCCAACTCACATGATTTGTCCCTCGTAAGTATAACGATGCTCCATCACATGTTTTTATGCTCACGTTTTTCTCTTAATGCTCAAGGGTTTGGAATGCTTTAAAATGACATAATGACCGCACGTTTTTATTTTGTTTTATATAGCATGATATGCTCTTGTTTATTTTGAAGTAAATAGAATATCGGATCGGCGACGCAAATATAATCCCAGAAATGAAATCGATCCGAATAATATATACAAAAACAAATTCCATAACATCGAAGAATAATTCAATGTAATTCAAATGTATTGAATGTGATCACAATTGAATTACGTCATTATATGAAATTGAATGAGCGTGGTTCCAAACGAAATCAAACTCTTTGGAATTATTTTACACATTATTATCTATGTGCGGTGTACTCATTTTAAATGAATCAGAACGCTGTCGTCGATTTTTTGTCGTTATTCGTTTTTCTTTTGTTCCGTTTGATAATAGTTATCGGTGCATATAGCACCATTGGTGATACAAACGGTTCATATCGCCATAAGAAAAGTTTGAAAGTTTGAGTGTAATAAATTTTTGCTAAATTTCAATACAAAAATTATTGATTTAAAAAAACCTCTATCGAGATGAAGAACGAGTGGCGAAACCTGAATTTGAAACACAAAAAATTGTGATATCAAGTTTTCGACGAAAATAGTTGGTTGAATAAATACTGTTGCAGAACAAAAGAAGAAATCAGTGAATGTACAACTATTTGAGTAAAAAACAAAAGAATTATCTACTTTCAGATACGTAATTAAAGATTCAAAACATTCATAGAATAAAATTTTGTTTCGTGAGTCAACTTTTCACTACACTACGGTGGTTTCGTCACTCGCATGAACCGTCGTCCGCTGCGGTATCGTCACCAATAAAACTTTTTTCGAAAAATTTATTCATATATTCAATGCAATTATTGAATAATTAATTATTTTGAATTTTATGCACTGAAAATTGCATTAAATTGCGTGCAATACGTTTTTAAAGCAAATGGCATGCCAAAAGGGTATTTTAATTCAATATTTCTGAATACATCGAAACAAAGGTTTTTTATTTGAATTGCAAGTTTTCATGGAGTTTTTGTATTTTATTCGGACGTTCATGTGTTCACAAATGTGTGAAAAAGAATCCATTTTCATCTGAGAACCGTTCTTGTACAAGTGTTTTCCACTGATTTCCCTTTTTTTTCTTCTCTAATTTTCTGCATCATCAACAGTTGCCATGCTGAAATCCAAACGCGAACAAGACGTGAACCAGGTTTGATCGCATATGTCTCCGGTTTTATCATTGCTTTAATGGGGTGAGTGATTTAGCAATACACATTTTTTGTACGTCATTTCATTACACAGTATCAATTAATCGATTTGAATTTCAATCTTTTTCCTGTTGCTGTTGCACACTTTAGCTGCTGGTTGGGGTGAGTCTTATAATGAGATTTAGTTTCATTTCCGTTGTCATAGTGATATGCATTGATTATTGAATATTAATTACATTTCATTATCAAATTTCAGATGCTGTCTCATTCCATGTTGTATTGATGAATGCATGGACGTCCATCATACATGCCCCAACTGTCACGCTTATGTAAATAATTTTTTTTTATTTTTTTTTTCCATTGAATTTTCAATAATTTCTGGTATTTCTTTACATTTAGATGGGAAGGTACCGACGATAAAAACAGAAACTCATTTTAACAGGAAGAAACACCTCTTTTTCTCTATAATGCGCTTCAAACGAAAGTGACCAAGAATAATAGAAGAAGAACAAAAACAACAACAACAACATGTCTTGCAAACAGTTGCATGTCTTTCGTTTAAGATTCCAAATACACTGATTTTTTTTTTACACAAAATTCTAATCGTAATGCTTCTAATAAAAAATAAAGATGAACAAATCTTATACATTCAGTATTTATAACAAACAATAGAAAAATAAAATATCTACTATATGAAATGAATCAGTAAAATTACACTTCATCTAAATAATATTATACATATAAATATTGATATCTGGAATGTCATACGAAAGAAAGAAAGACAAATTGCATGAATCGATCGAAATTCAAATTGTAAAAATTATTGTAACGTATTTGCTCACCAGCATCAAAAACATTTTAAAAGAAAGAATTCTTCCTAATTGTTCAAAGAAAAAGAGTAACTAAAATAGCCATACGAGGAACTCAAAAATAACTTTAAAAAAGTCAGACATTTTATTTAAATATTTTCAGCCGGCTGAATCGGCTCAAGTAGCTAAAACAATCACTTTTATTATTGTCGCTGCATTTCAGCGCCTGGCATTGGCGGCATGAGCCGATTCAGCTGACTGAAAATATCTCAATGAAATCTGTCTGAAAAAGAATATCATAAAATTTATATAGAATTATCGCACGCGAATAAAATAATGATAACTTGTGAATGTTTGTTCTTTTAACCTATGCTCTCCTTTAACCGAATGAAAATAAGAATAGGGTTTTCTATAGTCTTTTTTAACATAAATTATTTAATAATCTCAACGAAATTTGTATATTTTTGTTTGTTTGTTTGCTAATTGAACATTGAAGAAATCGATTATTTTTTTCACTTTTAATTTGTTGTTTTCTTTCTATGAAGTTTGCTGAATGATTTGTCATTTGAAAAAAAAAAAAAAAAAAAAAAATAGAGACACTGTTCATATTCAAACAAGTGGTTAAATTGTTTTGCCATACCACGAAGTTGAAATTGTTATTATGTACGCTCGTTCGCAATTATTATAACATCTGATGTTTTTGGAAAATTATCCACATTCTAATTTGTGCCAATTCATATATTCTTTTCTGCAAAACAAAGCACCCGAGGAATCTGGTCAACGTTGGGATGATTTTATACTTTGATAAATTAATTTAAAAAAATGTCGACATGAATGTCCATGTATTTTTATGACATTGTTGTTGTTTTGTATGGAGAATCTTAAAGACGATTGGGACTCTTTATTTTGCAAACTTTTTTTTTGCATTTGATTTCCGACAATAATGCAAAAAGTGAGGAAATATATATATTTTTGTTCCACGCAAGCAGCAACAAGATTTTTAGCATAAATGAATCACTTAGAATAAATCAACATTACTAGATAAATGTCTTCAAATGCGTTACTGAAAAAAGTCAGTCAGCAAAAGCGTTATAAAATATATGGACGATGTCACGCTTTTGTTGGCGAACTTTTTTATATAACGCGTCACATACAGTTTTTGACACTATTACTGACGTGCTTTTTTCTATAACGCATTTGAAGACATTTATCTAGTAATGCTGATTTATTCTAGGCGGTTCAAATGTACTGTTTTTTTTTTTTTTTTTTTCAAATAATTTTTTGGTAAATAATAACCTAACAAAACTAAACTGAAATCATATATTTCGTTAAAAAAACAAAAAGTAAATTAATAGATTAAAATTTAAATAAAGAACAAAACACAAAATTTGCATAATACTATGCAATATAACGTATATTGTAAGAAAATAATTGAGAAAAAAAACCAAATCACTGGACACAGAAATCATTTTAGAAAATAAAGTGATGGAATGTCAAACTGTTTGTTCTTCTTACGTTAAGACACAAATTCAGCACATTAATCCCTTTTTTTCCATCGAGGTAAGTGTCATAAAAACAGTCCCTTTTACTTTTGGTACAAAACGCCAAATTGAATTTTTTTGTGTTGATTAGAGATAGTCCAAAGTCCATATATTTTTAATAATTCAACAGCTAGATTTGATATTTTACATATATGTTTTTAATGTTGAAGCCACTTTACAAACAATATAATCAGGATTTTTATTATTTATTATTGTCTTTATTACTTTTATTATGGAAAAAACTTGTGTTCATTTCATTTCGTCTCCAATTCAGCCACTTTGGCAACGTTCGGCAACTGTAAGGATGAATATTGATACATTTAGAGTCGTTTTATTTGCTGCTTTCACTCAACGAGTAGTAAAATTGTCACTTACCGAAGGTGGATTCAATAATAATTCAAGATTATTTGTTTTTGATCAATTCCGCACACCGAAATATCAGAGACGTTTTTCATCGATAATACTATTTGAAAATGAAATAGATTCAACTGTACCGTGGCAATTCAAAGATAATGTCAAATTATTTAAAATAAAATCGATTCGTATTACTCACCATTTACAATTTATCTGGATCGTAGTTGATTTAAAAAATTGTAACACACATTCATTTTTTTAGCGGCAATGTGCAACTTAAGCTCTATCAAACATTTTGAACTTAAATCTAAACTTAGTTGAATTACTTTTTATTTTGATTTTCGATACAAATAAACTTGTAAAAGTTTATTGAATGCGGTTATCAACACACCAAATATTAACACAACCATGGCCACTGTTATAAGATTTTCTATTAAAAAACAAAATGATTAAAAAAACAATGATTGCACCAATGATCGCATCAATGGATGGTACCATATCATGTGGCCATTTTGCAGCTGATTGATTATAGTCGCAAAATGGCTCACATGTCTCACATGGCTTAACCATAGACAAAAACAAAAGAAAGAAGAGCATCGATTTCATTTTTCAATTTGAGTTATCCCGATATCAACAAAACAATAAATATCAATGTGACTTTGAACTTTTAAGACGTTTTTTTTATCTTGGCGGCACTATGCTCTAGTCAATAGAATAAAATTCTCTACAACTCAATAACTATCACTTGCACATTGCTGCTTTACGATCTGTGTGAGATATTTTTTTCTGTATTTTAAGTTAAATTTTGACGAATCTTGATGTTAAAGGCGATTGACGACTAATCACTCACTTACAGAAAATTTACTGTCATTGACGACACAAAGCCGGCAAAGATATTTTGTTTATATCGTGCCTCAACAATATGGAATTTGTTCATTTGACAAAAATTGAAAAAGCCATTAAAAAAACACGCTTTTTTGTACATCAACTGTTTTATTTTTATGGATAAATACATACATTGTAAACGTATATGCAATTCAGCAGAACCAAATTTTCACTCTAACAAACTACGTTGCTTTGTATGGTGATTTTTTTCACTTTATTTGGTAATAAACTGTACAAAGGACGTTCGATGTTCAAATCAATCTGATAAATTCTGAGTTTTTTTTACCGGGATCGTTACCGATCGGTGATTGGTAGTAATTTTTTGAACGAACATTACTAAGCAAACATTTATGAAGGAATATGGTCAATGTGATGCCAAAAGTGAATTGATTAGATCGTTAGGAATCTAACTGTCCAATTGATATTCAATATCAATACACAACATACATACAAAGAACCCCAAGAATCGTAATTAATGTAAGTCATACATACAAATTCGTAGACGTATAGAATCCCAGTCAACACTCACACATACGCATATGATTTCACATCCTTTCTTTCTTTGTTAATGTAAGAGGTAAAAAATGCATTTGAAAATAAGTGTTAGAACTTCAAAATATGTTTATAATAGATTGATCTTCGAACACAATCCATTGGTTCTTAGTTCAGTTGTGTTTTGTTCTCTCATGTGAATCGAGGAATAATTTTTGTTTTAAATATGGAATATCAAAACATAGGTGGGGAGACTTTTCTCGCGGTGGGGGGGGGAAGCAAATGGTATGTGGCCGGAGGGGGGTCAAATTTGCATGGTGAAATATTGAAATATAAATAAAGTAGAAAGTATTGTAGTATTGTACTGTAGTACTGTTCCGTAAAACCTCAAATAAATATATGAATGGACGAAAGTTCGGAGAACCAAGTGAATTTTATGTATACATAAAAAAAAACAAAAGTCTTGCTTGTTTAGTGTTTCAATATTGCATATATATGTAGATAAAAATCTGCTGATACGATTGAAATGAGAGAGACATGTTTTGGCAATTTGTTTATTGTGTATCATATATCTATATTTTTTCATATGCGATACATCGCGGAGACACGTAATCGAATTCGAGACAGAGGAGGGCAAATCGCATTTTTTGTTTTTTAAGGGGGCAAACCCCAATTTTCAATTTTTGCAGACCGGGGCAAATTTAGATACACATTATTGTCCTTCAGTTTTATCACCAACGGGGAATTCATTGCAAAAAGCATTAGAAGCCACATTTTTCAATCCAAAAAGGAACATACCTTTGCATGAAAAAGATCATGTCGATCTTTGTTGTCGTTCTCTTTATAAATGCGATGCATTTAAACATATGAAACTGAATTCAAAAACCGATCGCCATGTTCAACATTGTGAATGTGTACATTCGTTTCAAATATGTTTGAAGAATTTAAATACATCATTATCGAATGAAGTTGCATTCATTCATTCTGTAAAAGCAACAAAATGTTATTCAAAAGATCATCCAATCATTAAGTGTATTAAATTTGAGGCATGTTCAAGTTCAAAACACCAATTTTTCAGTTTTATGAACTTAGTTGAACGCGAAAATATGAGTTAGATGAAAATCGACCACAAACGTTACACATTTTTGATGTGCCACTAAATGACGATATAGTGGCCATGGATAATGGTTAACATAAAAGTTTAGTTATGAAATATAGCGTAGAATTGTTGCCTCAATTTCGTATCTTGAGTTAATTTGAAAATGAAATTTTTGTTCGTGCTGATCCCGACCAATAGGGATCAAAGGTGAAAAGATGATGGGAGATTTACAACAAATGGACGGGCATAATAAGTTATCATCTGTTAGAGAAAATCGTACGACACTTTTTTTGCTAGTAAGTTTTTTTTCAAATTATTATACTGTGTTTTTTTGTGTGAAATTATACAAAGAATGTTTTACGAAAATATAGGCATTAATATGCCTTTTTAATTATATCTATTTTCAGAAGTGCCTCAACAAATAACTATCGAAAACCGAGACGAGGCTCCTATCCATGAAACCGAGATGATACAACTTCAGATTATCCTGGAATAAGAGTTGATTCAACGTAAGTATAGTTTTTTCTCACTTCAAATCAATGAAGAATAGGCTTGTCGAATTTCAGTTCTCTATGGAAAATATTTTGTACAGTACAATGATTTTGGAATTTCAATGCCATCAACTTAAATTATGGATACCGACACATTGGTGAGAGCCACGTTATTTTCAAATTTTAGTTTTATTGCGCCACTACTGTTGCTTTAATTTGAAAATAATGTACACGGATAGCTCCTCAATGTGTCTGTATCCATATTGTTTTAATTGTAATTCAAAAAAAATTCAAATTATGGCATTGGACAAAAAAATTCGCAGAGAGAGCCTAATCAAAAATCAACAATTCAAAATAAATTAATGTTTATGTATTTAATTGTTTCTCCTCTTACACCAGCCCCCGGATGTTTTTTGTTCACTCACCTAAATAATGTAACCATAAACAACACACCAGCATCGACTTAAACTAAAATTGGAATAATAATTTTTCCTTTAAATTCTTGTTTTTGATATGTATACGAGATTCAGTATTTTCTGTTGTTTTTAAAAAAAATGTTCAAAAATATGTTATAATCGTTGTTTGAAAATGTTTATGCTAGATCTAATGTATCTTATCTCAGTTCCAAATCGATCAAAACACACGTTTCGTATTAATAACATATTTTGACTACTTGTGTAATGTAAGAGTACAGTAAAAGATAAACAGAGAGATCCAGAATTCATACGATTAAAGACATATTCCACTGATCATACTACAATGTTTAACACCATTCAATAATGCATTTTTGCTGAAAAATTAAGCTCGTCGTTCAGGTTAAAGTCAGCCGCTAAGGAAGCGCTATTATATATTGCTTCAAAATTAAATATGAACGACGATCAAAATAGAATAAGATTGATTTATTTGTGTAAAATGCGCTCGAAAAGTAAAATGCGGTGATTGATTGAAAATTTGCTCTACTGAAGCGGCAAGCTTCGTATTGAATTGTTTAGTAGGTTTTGTGGAAAAAACCACGAAAAAATCGTATGCATTTCGGGCAACAACTGAGCGTCCATCATCAGCGAATGCTTACAATGCACTAGTGTGAATGCATTAATATGAAAAGACCAAAAAAGACATTGTAAATTACAAAAGAGAAAAGAGAGGCGATATTATGTTGCTGTTGTCGTCAAGATTCATTTATTCTTGTTCTTATTTATGTATTCATAAGCGTTTCTTCTCAAAAGTATCAATTCGGTGTGCCTCAATTATTGTTTACATCATGAGTGTGGAAATGGTAACGCCTGCGCATTGTTAAGCTTCGTGTATTTTCATTTGCAAAGAGTGATTTTATGTGCCCCACCACCATGCACATTGGAAAGGACAATGAATGATTTTCCCGATGAGTAATTGAGTGAAAATCCAAAAAATCCTTCATGTGTATTCAAAAAGCAATTGTTTCGTTTCGATGTCTGTACTGAGTTAAATATGAATCTCATCTACATACAAAGGGTAACATTGTGGCTGTAGTCATTCTTTCCCTTTTATTTGTCCGACTGGAAAGATTTGTTGAAATTTAACAATGCTCCAATCTTGGTGGATATGCAACTCCACCTTTTTCCGCGAACGAGTGAAAAAAACCACACTGGAAAACCAAACTCATTTGGCTTAGAGCAAAGTGGCAGCGTTTTAATGTGAACACAAAAAAGTTTTTTGTTTCCTTTAAAGTGTTATCAAAACTGTGATTGAATCGAACCAATAAACTAATTTTAAACGAAAAAAAAACCAACCAAATAATTTGTTGAATAATTTAAATTAAAAGCAATTGATTAAACATATAAAAAACAGGTAATTTTTTCACGAGCAAGACATTAAGCTTATTTTCTGCAGTTTTGGTGTCTACTAAATTGCCCTTTCTTCTTCATTGTTTATAAATCAGTGAATTTAAAAGAATGTGCTACTGACAAACAGTTATTTTATTTTATGTTTTTTTCTTTTGTTTGTTATCAATCGATATGAATTTTTTTTTGCATTGAAATTTAAAATGAAAATCGTCTTTGACAACGCTAATGGTATAATGTTGTGGTGTTCATGTACTTCAAAATGTCTTTCGTTCTTTTTCTTATATTTCTTTTTTCCTTGGTGCTCAATCACATGAAGAAGGTTCTTTCCTTGGAACACATAATTCGCATAGATATATCATACATGAATTACATCAAGAAATTTTGGTGGTTGGCGGACCTTTTATTTCAGGGTCATATTCAATTCATGTAGTACCAACACATATGCACACACACAACCAAAACTATTTGTTTAATTGTCACTGATTCATGGTGTATGTCTATGTGTATTGGTGCAAATTATCGTATGTAGTGAGACATAAAGTGCTTATCGCATTCAAAGTGTAGCATAAAAAGTGAAGGAAAAAAAAGCATAAAGCGTTTGCTGGATACAATTCAATATGGTGTAAAAGCGTTGCTGTCTCTTGGCTTTCTCAATTTGTATGTGGTTGTGGCTGTGTGTGTGTGTATGAGTGTTTTATATTCGTACGTGTGAGCGCGCCGTTTGCGTGGAAATATTTAGACGTTATGATTCCGTCGTTACAATGTAGTTGTATACGTATGGTTGATTCATGCAGTCAGGCATCCTTGTCGACTGAAGAATGCTTATATAAATGCTTACGTATTCGTACATACGTACTTGTACATCGTACACACATTTCATATTGTCGTATTTGAAATGTTGTTTAGCAACACATACCAGATAATTCTGCCATTTGATTGTTGTGTGGCGTTTTTTTTTTTTGCTATTCTCGTTAATTTAACTTTTAAGTTATGGAGTTTGCATTTTTATTCAGTTTTTGCGATTTGCACATTTCGAATAATGTTGACATTCTGCAAACTGCAAGAGACCAATTCGTATATGTATCGATTTACATGACTGTATGTGAAAGCCTGAATGAACCTATTAAAAAATGACACTGTTGAAGTACTACTTCATAGGGGAGGGGGTGATATTTGCGAATGGTGTAATAATATCAACAACTACGAATGACTACACACAATTTATAGATTCATTCTGATGTAATTCAATATGATTTTTTCATTTGAACAAATAAAAAAACAAATACATGCCGCATAGATGGCACCATAATGGCCACCGTTTTGATGATACTTGTGTTGGTTTTGTTCATGATTTTCGGTTGTTTCATACACTCTAATATTTGATCGAATGGTTACCATATTAGAAGCTTTTATTATTACGTATGTAATAACAGTTAGCTATTTACGATTATCTAAGCCATTTTAATTCTTTCATGAAGACACCCTGTCATTTGAGTCATTTGGAACGTGCATATATTCATTTGAAGATTTCCCTCTCAATTTCTTTGTGTACACAGTAAGAAAAAAAGCACAGAATATCCACTCTTCATCACTTCCCCGTCTTTGTCTGTCTTTGTACACGACATCGATATTGTCTATTCTGAGCTTCGACTTAAATGAACTCGCATGAATTTATTTGTACAGTTGTAATAGTTTTTTTTATCACTGGGGCATTCGAAAAAAAACCACTCAAACTCTCTCTTTACAATTAATTGCTATTCGCTCACAGTCTGAAACATACATAAATAATCATATGAAACATACATTCAGCGATCAATGATAAAATAAAAAGTATCGCCAAAAAATAAACGAATCACTGTTATAAACAAAATTGTGGTGGTGAGTTTTAGATGGATAGATTTATGTTTGTACTTTTGTGCATATTTCAGTCTGCATTAACTGGTCAATTCAATATCATAAATAAAGAGTCTCAAGGTTCAACATTTTCTTTTTGCCATTTTTGTGGTGTGTGTAGTGCATATTTTGCATAAAAACATTATTTTTAAATATACAATAAATTTATGTCTATTTCAATGTTGGTTTGACATTGCATACTTTCAAGACCAAATACTGTCTGTAAATAGTATTTTGATTTACATAAACATATTGTGCGAAACTTTATACTTTTTCCAGTAATATCTTTAAATTGTTTATTTTTTGTTTATGTATAGAAATGCCTTCAGCAGCACCTCCACAAGCCGAAGTGGCCGGACCGCCACGAACAGAACTCGAAGAATTGCAAATTAAAGCAAATCAAGTTACAGATGAGGTAATTAAAGTCGACTTTTTACATAAATTCATTTTTCAAACAAATTAATTTATTATTTTTCTCATTTCGAATGTTTTTAATTCAAGTCCTTGGAGAGTACTCGACGAATGTTGGCTCTTTGCGAAGAGGTAAGTTCTAATGCCAGTCATTATTCCTTCCATTTTCTTATAACAAAACAAAAATGATTTAAATGAATGATGTTCTATCTACATAGGGCAAAGAGGCTGGCATCCGCACACTGGTTGCCCTCGACGATCAAGGAGGTAAATAAAACTTTACTTTTTGTCAACTATGTTCGATCATTTATAACTTCTTCCTTCCCTCTTTCAAACCCCCTCAAGATAAAAAATAGCCAGAACCATTATTTTTGTAACACTCCTATTATTTGAAATTGAATTCAGTACACGTGAAAAAAAATAATTTTTGTTAACACATAAGATCATTATATCGAATATTCGATAAATAGCTATATAGATTTAAGGCTCTTTATCGTCTTACTTATTTTTGCCTGCCTGGATTCAGTTCATTAATGAGTTTCACACAACCGCAACCAATTTACGTACCCTGCGGACTTCCACTCACAATAAAAGTCTAATTTCATTTTTTGTGCTAGACTGAGTAATCTATATTTATGTTTTTTATTATTATGATTTTCTATACAGTAAAGTTATAACAATGTTTCTTTTTCCATTTTCGATGCTCTTGTAATTCTTAATAGTGTAGGAATTTGATTCAATCGCCTCTCCGGGACCTTTAACACTGACTGAACTTGACACTACATCTATTAGAAATTCATTTTCTCGAATTATTCATTGAAAAAACAAATAACAATTGATTGTTTTTATATTTAACAAAAAAAAACTGTTTTTATTTAACATTTAAAGAAAAACTATCATTTTTTTTAACTATCAATAATCTCCCCACTACTTGCACTTGCCGATTTCATTGACTTTGCTCAGGATTTATGGGTTTTTGATTGAAATGATTTCACAAAATGAAATGAATGAAAACAAAAAAAAAAGATAAAAACAGAAATTAATCAAACCCACGAAATATGCGTTCAGTTGCGCAAATCAAAAAAGTCACACATACACACATAGCAGTTTTGTAAGTTTCAATGTATAGATTGAAAAAAATTACTCTTGTCCTTTTTTTCAATAATAATAATAATTGTTGTGTGTTTGGTGAGAAGATGCATGTTTTGTGTTTTAACCGAAACAAACAGAATGTACATTAGGGTGTTTCCCATATCTGCAAATAAAAAAATGGTATTTATCAATTTAAATTAGAACAATGGCTATGTCAA